GAAATTACTTCTCCTCATGACTGATCCTTCATTAATGGTTCTCAGAGATTCAAAACAATTGCTTACAAACACAGGAAAAGCACTTTACATGCTGTCACTGTCTTACATAGTAATATTGTTTCTATTCTAGATAAAGGTGATAAGTAAGTTCGTTGTGTTTTCTTGGATTACTCATCAGCCTTTGACTCCGTTCCTAGACCACTCTTGTTAAATAAGCTTGTCATAACTCATACTGACCCACGCATTACAAAGTCAGTGTATTATTATTTTTCTGAAAGGAATCAGTATACCATGTATAAAGGGACGCATTCCACTTCATCGATTACTGAAGCTGGTGTACATCATGGCGCTGTAGTTTCTCCGCTTCTGTCTTCGTTCTTTTTGCACGATTTACCTTATTCTCTTCAAACTAGTTTTATTAAGTATGCTGATGAACTGACAGTTAACTCTCACTTAGATTTCTCTGAATTAAAGGGACTCTTGTCTCCTATTGATCAATGGTCTCAGGTTAAACCCTTCTAAATGTCAGACTGGTGATTTTACCTTCAGGTGTAAACAAGATTTGTGTGAGCTGCTTAAGTCCCATGACACCTGTTCCATTGATGGTAGTCGTGCAGAAAGTAAATCAACTGTTAACTATGTTCCATTGAATTTTACTTCTGATATCTGTTGGTCATCTCATATATTGTTGACTTATTGGAAAATCTTTCGTTTAACGTATTACATAAAGAAACTGAGTCGTCTGTCTGGTATAACTCAACCTCTTCTTTTACAATTTATTAATTCCTGCATTTTATCTATTCTCTTCTATATTGTTCCCCGTTGTTCTTTTCTGGTCTACTGAATAAGGACTGTGTTATGTTGCATAGGTCTTTGAAAGCTGTCAACAGGGTGAGTGGTGTGTCTTTGGTTCACCTGATTAACACTGTAGTTGATGGACATTTGAATTCCAGCAAGCAACTAACTACAGTCATCTTAATTAACACAGAGCCTTCACTTCATTCACAGCTCTCTCCATGTATTTTGTCACGGAGAACAAGAAGAAACTACATCAAACTGTAAACTAGTACAGCTAAGTACAAGAATTCGGCTGCACCGTACCTAGCAGGTATATTATGTGAGGAGAAGCGTGTTAGAACAGAATTCACATATCCACTTTGTAACAGTATACAGTCTCATTTCATTCATTTTAATTAACACTGGAAAATGTTCCCGTTTTTAATATTCTTTACTTTACTTGAACTTTTATGATAGCACTATTCAAAAAATGGTAATGGTGGATAGTGGCTAGCAGTGGAATTCAGGATGCGCATTCCCTTCTATTTGGTACTCGTCAGCTGGATATACCTGGCTCCCAGTCAATGATGTTATTTACGTCGAGATTCAAACTGGGGTAGGATTCACATCATTACTATTGAATTAAAAACACAGGCAATGTCGAGCCATCTGTGCAGGAACCTATATGCCAATATTGACCGTTCAATTTAGTCCAGTCAACGACGGTATAATACAAGCAATAACACTAAAACTATTCGGAATGGTAAAGATAATATATACGCACATATTTTTTGTTGTTGTTGCAATGTATTATGATGAGAAATGCAAATGTTACCAGAAACTGTTTGAAATGAAGTGAACATTGTTATTATTATTATTATTATTAAATTCCAGCTGTTAAAGCCTGATCTTTGCGTTCAAAAGAGATACATCCAATTTCTAATTTGTCCTAGGGAATAATTTACTTAAGAGATTTATTTTTTTGTTTACTATTTGCTTATTTATTGTAATCCTTGAAGGAATTTTCCAAGACCTTGAGTTGACCTTGTGACTTTATTGACTGTTTCTAATGGCTTCATATTGACCTACTTGCTATTCATGGATATATATTTTATGGAATTTTGAGGCAGTTGTAGGGATTTGGAAATATTTCAAGTTTTTATTCATCGTAGACTGACATCAGTTGGAGGAACAAAGGAAACCTGGGAGCACTGGGTATCTGTTTCGTCCTAGGAATGGACTCCTCAGCAGTGCGCACCCACGACCCAGCCAGGGACCGAACACACGACCTTCAGGTCACGTAGCAGCATGCTAACATTGGGCTGGGGTTTGATCCCTGGCTGGGTCGTGGGTGCGCACTGCTGAGGAGTCCCATCCTAGGACGAAACAGATATCCAGTGCTCCCAGGTTTCCTTTGTTCCTCCAACTGATGTCAGTCTACGATAAATAACAACTTGAAATATATTTTATTGTAACAATGATTACGATTGTATAGTTTTTGAAAAAAATTCGCTGAAAAGAAAATTTTCCTCACTGAATCATCTTATGCGACTTTCTTATTTTCATTTACTTTAAAAGAAGCTTTCTTCAACCGTCTTTACTGGATTTCTTATGGTGTTTTGTGCTTTGAATATGCCGCTTATCGATGTACACAAGTACAGTGAATGATATCACGAGTTCAGTGAGTGTCAAATGCTGAGTTACACTCAAAAGTTGAAGCATGTAAACAATAAACTCAGGTGAAATATCGTTGAATAACTAACAGTTTATGCAACTTGAGAGCAAATAAAACTCTGAGCAATCAATAATTTTCTCTTTGCTACCTCTGTCATAACTACTTAAAAGGCAGGAAAGTAGATTTGAGTAGAAACTTGCACAGAAATGTATCATTTATGTTGCCATCTTTTTTCAGTAGTTCAATCTAGGGGGTTTGGTGGATTTATTGACTTCGGTAGTAATAGTAGTGGTAGTAGGAAATAAGAGGACACATGGTCAGAAATGGGTTACAATGGTATGGATTAATGGATTTTTTCGTCTATTGAGAATTTTGAATAGCTTCACTAGACTTCACTGGCTTACTCTCTCCTATCTCATGAACCTATTAAATTCTTTTTATCTATTTGTTTTTGTCATGCTGGTTTGAAAAGTGGTACTTCCGTGTCAAGTTCTACGCTGATGATTTGTCTGTCTGTCTGTCAGTCTATTTACTAAATGCCACTAATGAGTGTAAACAGCGAGACAACAAATAAACAAGGTCGACTGAATCTTTTGAGGTTTACCGATAGGGTGATGACACGACCCTAGTAACCTGATTGAATCAATTACATAGGAGACAGTCTGCAATCACTGATTGCTGAGACTGCAAAGATCTCAGGCCCGAGTTACAAGTTACATAAATTTTAGCCTAACTCTGCTCTATGTAGTCCGATAACCCCATTTCTACATAATAGAGAGGACTTATGTCAAACCAACCGGTTTTTACGAAATTTTCATTAAAAGTTGACAGCAGCCTAAGGTATTATGAAAACCATGAAAAGCAAGCTGGCTAACTGTTAGACTTTTCAACGAATTTCAGTGTGAATGTCACCATATATATTCAAAGTGATACGTTTCATAACTTCGTGTGACTTTGTACGGAGTCATATGAAGGCTAATATACAGTTAGAGTTGGATATAGAAGTAAATTATTTTCATACACTTCATTATGTGCCCTTACTAAATGATTGATAGGTTAATATCCGAAAATGATAAGATTTCAACAGTATTAACTTCAAAATTAAACATGTACATCTCAACAACGTCTGTTTTCTTTATGTCCCAAATAAATACTCATAAACGTGAAGTGCATATGGCAGACACTTATTTTTACCAACTGATCGTCATATTCACAGATTATGTGTGAAGCTGATAGATTCTCTGCCTTATAGTGAGATATGAATGGGAGACTTGGAGAATACCAGTATTTCTGTAGAAAAAAACAAACCCGGTTGCTGGTCATACTTTTATTGGACTTCAAGCAATAGTTAACCAGTTGTCTATTTATTCTGACTCAGATTGATTTTGATTGAGGTGAAAAAATTCGATCACAGATGTATATGAATTCGATCTGGTATGTAGTAAAACCACAGAGTACTGATAAAGTAAAGTAATTCAGTCATATTGTCAGAGTGCATCGATGTAGATCAATTAAGACAAATGTTACTAATGTCCACTGACTGTTCACTCTTGATAGGCAATATTAACTGAAGCATTAGTGAGACGGAAGGATGGAAAGATTAAGCATATCAGGATGTGACAGCAATCGATAAAACTGTCTAACTCCTGATTTGAATCATGTCATGATAAGTAGACTGTACTTGCTGAGTCTTTGGCTTACCACTAATATCACAGTGCTCTACGCGCCCCCTGCAACAGTGTACCTACCTATTTACAGGTTAGACGAAAATGTATCAACGGCTGATTGTTACAAACTATCTGGCCCAGTTCGGAAATCCTGAAGATGTATTCAATATTAGTGTTTATGATAATCTCATCAGTCACGATCCTTTGAAAATCCTCCTCTAACGTTACTCTTGCCTTGCCGGCTGCTATGTTGCTCAATCTCTTAACTTGTCTATACGCTCTGTGTTTCTACTTGTTCAACACCCAAGATGATATCAGATAGAAAACGTTTTGAAAAGTGTAAATTTCTAGTTGAACAATAAACAATAACTTAAATATTCCAGTAGATTTATGACAGGATTCATAATAGAATGATTCAGATGTAAACAAACTGTAAGAAAGAGATCGTCAAGGATACAAAATGGAAAACAAAAAAAAAAGAGATTAAAAATGCAGTCACAATATTTTTTTAAATGTTAACAACAATGAAAAAATATTCATTATAAACAATATACTATTTTCAGTTGTTCAAATAGCATTATGACTTTTTGTACAGACTAGGTTAACAGGAAATATAAATTATTCTACCCAAAGATAAATATCTCATATATATGTATATATACCATACAATCAATCATATTAAGTAATAAAACGAGTTTCAATCTTCAATTTCACTTTATTTCTGCCTTACATGTATCTGTTACTACCTTGATGCCTATAATGTACCAAAAAGTGAGGTGCAACCGGGGATTATATCAAAAAGGGAGGCTGATGGAAGCGGAAACAAACACAGGGAGAAACAGTGTGTGTGTTGTATGAAAGTGAGAGACTGAGTATGACAGTCAATTTGGACCAGTTGTTTGTACTTTATTATTAGTGTTATTTGCCATAACTAAATTCTTTTTATCCATTGTTGCATTGACAAGAGTTTTAGCATTGAATAACGCTTTCTGTAAATAACGTGACATTCGCCTATTACGTATTTTACGTTTCGCTGTACGATGTAATTGTTTTACCATGTAAAGTTGATCAGCATGTGCATAATATAACAAGAAATGATTAACCAATACAGGAATAGTATATGACATTAATAAAGCACCCAAAATTATACAAGCTGTAGCCACAATATAACCCCATGTATTCTTAGGTACTAGATCACCATAACCTACAGTAGACATGGTAATTAATGCCCACCAAAATCCTTTTGGTATATCTGGAAATGTTGAATCAACAAAGAAAATAGCAGCACCGAAAAATAAAGCACTTTCTAATATCAATACAACAATAATGGATACATCAGCAATAGTTGTACGTATTGTATACAAAAGGACACGTGTACCTCTATGTCGACGTAATACACGAAATAATCGTAATACAACAAACACCTTCAAGATAACAATATACTCTTCAACACGTAGAACACGTAATATCCATGATATTGCCTCTTGATTATCATTATTATTATAAACTAATTCATAGAAAATAAATTCACAATAGAATGGTATCAATGATAATATATCAATCAGTGTAGAGACTGAAAATAACCAGAGTAGAAAACATGGACAAAATATCATACGAATAATAACATCGATAGTGATTGCTATAGAAAAGTAAATATCCATTTGTACAAGCCATTTAGCTGGTAATGTCAATTGTGTACTATTTGTTCTACGAGACATTGGAATTTGAATACGTGAATTATGAAGATAATCTAAAGATGTATCATTCTGTAAATTACTAATATTCAAATAGAATGGTACACGAAATTCTTTAACTGTTGACATCATGAATACACCGACAGCTGATGTGACAATCAATGTTTCATAGATTAAATAAAATCGTCTTAACCAAGTTATATACTTTGATTCACGTTTAGTTGATGAAGTAGACTGCCATAATGGACGACAATTATTCACTTCTTGATGACATGAAACATTCATTGATGTAACAGTTGGTAGATTAGACTTAGTTGTCTCATTTGCATTAGATACTGATGGAATATGTTCATTATTTATGGAGTATGGTTGATTTTGTGTATCCTGTTGTTGTTGTTCTTCTCCTTGTTGGTGTTGTTGAGAATGAGGATAAGTATAATGTGAAATTTGATGATGACTAACTGATCTGCATAAATCATGTGGATTTATTGTCCTAGAATTTGAATCAGCAGTATGATCACTAGTTGTATGGTATTCACAGGGAAAAATTGTATTTGGTGTACATTGTTTATCATTTTTATAATTACCAAAATGTGAACTAATATGTCTTGTTGAAATATCGATAACAGACCAAACTTTCTCACGAAATAGTTGCCATTTATAAGATCTTTAGTAGAAAACAAAAAAAGGGGAAAATTATCAAAGTAATGTCAAGTTAGAGATAGAAAACTGTTAAAAAGTCTTGTTTAATTTTGGTTTTATGAATTCTCGCACTCATCGGGAGCATACTCATATAATCCTAAGGGGATGGGTATTGTTTCAGAAGTTAGATCTTACAATCACTATCTCTTAAATGGATTATAAATAGTGACTTAATGTAAAGGAAAATTTCTGTGACCGGTAGTATGACCTAACAGTCTACAAATGAACCTAGTGAGGAAACGAATCGACTCTGAACGCTTATGAGAACGTCAACCACCACCACCACCACAATACCATCAACACCTGAAGACAAGAAGAGAAGACAGACCGTTGACAGAGAGCTTTCACTGTCTCAACAACAGACAATACAGTTGACAGCGATGCTAAATACATACATTTCTAAATGAGCTTGACAATACTAAATCCACATTTAGGTAAAAATAGTTAACAACCAATGAGAGTTCAGCCTTCAGAGCAATGAGAAAACGAAGGCTGTCAACGGTGTAAAGACACCAATGGTGATTTATTTTAAGGTTATGGGTAAATATCAGGCAAAAGTTATGCAAAATTAGGGGGATATAACAAAAATAATGCTTAAAAAAGTAAAAGATCGTACAGTTTGATGCTGAGAATACTGTTTTGTTTGCGTTTATCGACTCTAAAGATGTTACCCTAATGCATAAGACGAAATTGGGAGCTAATACGATCTGCAGATAATATAATAGAACCATAGTTTCATATTATAGATTGTAGATTCCTATAATCGATTGGAACGAAATGGTTAACCGCGAATAGGCCTTAAGTGGATGTACAGATTCCTAGATATTGTCGGCAATCTACGTCTGAATCCAGGATGCATATTTCCTCCTATTTAGGGTGACGTGAAACTATAACCTCTAATCTCAAATTATACTTGTCTATCAAGAAGACTCTATCATGACTTTATAAGTTATTGTATTAATGGTCAAGCGTTTGAAGCAATGAGTGTTGAGTTTCCACCTAGGTAAGAACAGTATCACTCACTGAAACTCAAGTGTATCCAAAATATGCACCTTAGACTCCCCTGTTAGTTGTAAGTATCAGGGTTTATTTAAGTCATTTATCAGCAAACACCATAACTTTATGTAATGCAGTACACTTAAATTTCTAGTCGATATATCAATCAATTTTTAGCACATAATCTCGTTCTGCATCACTTTTTGGATATAATGCCTATTTATTAGTACAGTTTAAATGGTACTTCAGAAAATCTAAACTTATTATGCGTTTTGGCATTCCATTGAGTTGAAAAAGAATATCGATTATTTACTGTTCACTTGAAAAACTACAAATTGAAAAGAATAAAGTGACCAGAATGCATGACACTGATACAATAGACTACTTGAATTAGTTTAAAATACTGTTGACAAGATAACTATCAAAATGTCAGTATTGTTTTACATATTTTTTTAATTTCAGCCTTGATTATTTTTTATCTTCCTTCATTAGTGTAATATTGAATGGAGCTAACTGAATACTTGAGCAATTGTAACTTCAACTGTTGCTTAGTGTTATCAAGTTGTATACTGTTAATGTTCATTTGTTTGTAAACTACATGAACACAGGTTATATATAGTGAGTTAAAGGTTCAATTTATAGGTCAGATAGGTAGGTTCTCTTTCTTCCCCTTTTGCCTACCAACATTCTGCGTAATTTACATATTTTTCTGCCATTCATGGTATAAGTCTCTATTAGGCGATTTTTTCAAACTAAATCTTTATATTCAGAAGAATACGTGATCATAGAGTTAACCATAAACTAGAATTTCGAATGAAGTAAGGGGAGAGAGAGAGTAGTGTCTAACTTTCATTCTACCAATTCTCAGGCAAAACATATTAACAAATATAAGGTGTAACAATTGAATAGACAGTAGATTTAATCGTAACAGGGATATTTAGGAACAATTAGGAATAAATAGTTTTAGGTCGTCTCAATTCACTATACACGTTTGGTGTTGATATATAGATGACACATTTACTGTATTAACATGACAGATCTGCAGTAAATGTAATCTAATTCAATTATGAATCAGAAAATGTAAAAGAAACATGACCAAAACTGGATTGTAAAATCAAGTGGAGACAAACTGATAATTCAGATACTAGTGTCTACAAGAGATCATGAAACTGGAATAGATGCTTAAATTTCACACCATCTCATTTTCTATCTGTTGAGGTGGGCTTGGTGATTTAGCTAACAATCTTACTCATACATTAGAAAACCTGAATAAAGGTCACAAAAGCGATGAAGAGACTTTGGAACCTAATAAATAACCTCTTAAATTTATCAACATGTTTATAGGACTCATAACATAGGTAAACAGAAATAATATCAGAGTTAATTGTAACAAGCTTAAGAAGGAATTGAAATCTTCTGTGGTGTTGATATATTGATAAATGAAATCACGAAGCATCTTTGGAATTCTTCATGATACTACGGTCAGATTAGCATGTACAACTGACGAACTTACTCACAGAGAAACTTTGTAGGATAAAAGATCCTGTAAGCTGTAATATAATAGTGATAATAACATTGGATTATAAACTAGCCACCTAAAAGAATTGATATTAAGATGTACATTTAGTATACAGTCCAGATTTATTGATATGATTTACAATCAGACGAAGAAGTCGCAGCGGGGTCTCCACTATGCCCTGTCCTGGCTGATATTTTTATGGCAAAGCTCGAAAACGGGCCACTTAAGGAAATAATCTCGGAACTTTGTTTGTATAAAAGGTATATTCACGACACTTTTCTTATTTACGACTAAGCATGTCCAGCCGATGAGCTGCTAAGACGTTTCAATGATTGTCACCCATCCATTAAATTCATTCTAAAGAAAGAGTTAAATTTAACGTTCTACTTTCTGGACGTAATGTTAAAGAGAAGGGATGATAGCTCAGTTCAATGGTCAGTCTATCGAAAACCAAGCTAGACTGGCCAGTTCACTAACTTTGTTAGATGGTTACCTCTTAGTTGTAAAAGAAATCCCATTCACTTGCTGTGTTCAAGAATTTATAAAATATGTTCAGAAGACACGATGAATGTGGGAATAGAAACTCTTAGAAAAACACCATCTAATAATGAATATCCTAAAAAATTCGCTAGTAGGAATCCGAAGAAACGAATCACTTCTCATCCCATTAGAGTTCCTAAGAAAATCTTAACCATGAATCTAGAATTCGAAGGAGATACCAAAGCCGACGTTCTGAAAAACCGTCTGTCAAGGTGTATCAATAGTAGCTTTTATGCTGCTAGACTGAAACTGATATTCTCTAGCAGCCGTCTGACTCGACAATTTGTGAAAGATAGGCTACCACTTATATCTACATCTATGTGTATCTACAAATTCACATGTTCCTACGGAGCTGACTATATTGGAGGTTGCTAGCGGGCCCTCCAAAAAAGTATTCATAAACATTACCCGGTTAGGCATACCAAAGGCGAGCGAAGGTAAACGTAATTAAGCAAAATAACCTAATGATTTCGAGGTCAGCATAGAAGAGAACAAAACTCGAGTGAAATATTGAGTGATAGACTCTACTAAGACAAGTAATCTAAGGAAAATCTCTATTATCGCTCTACCCGCACTGACTCGTAATTCCACTTCAGGGTGACACTGGGATAACATTTCTGAAATTCAATATATTTAGGTCTACTTATCACTAACTTACGTTAGTTGGAGAAATATTAGGAGACCAAAGGAGCCGGATAGCTGTTTTATCCCAGTATGAGAATCCTTACCAGTAGGCAACCATGACGCTGACAGGGATGGCAAGCAGAATCTTGCCATTGAGCCAGTGGATCGGGATTCATTGGTCTACATTTTCCTACTTCTTTCAATTTGCAATATAGTATGATTTTCATCGTATACCGTGGTTGAGAAGTTGTTTACATGTCTGATGTGGTTTACCCCAGCAGCCACCAACTCCCATTACAAATTTAGGAAATATTCAGTGGTGACATTGGACTAAAGTCGGGCTACATCGTGAACTGATAGAGGTAGAAGGATGCAAACTATTGGATTTTGATCCACTGGCTCAATAGTAATGTAATCGCCGCGGAACCCGACGGCCGTTGGTTTCATCCCTTGTGGAGTTGTGGGTGCGTAATGCTAGAAACTTCCATATTGTGATCAAACGGACCTCCAACGCCTCCAGGTTTTCAGTGTTTCTTCAAATGATGTCAGTCCTTGATGATTGTGAGAAATAAATTCTACTGGAAACGTTGAATCAACAATCTAATATGAAACCTGTAGTTTCCCGTTACTATATAGGGCAGAATTACCCGACCTCTGTTGGCAGATGGCCTTAGTGGATAACGCTCTAGCATTTGAAGTGATGCTTACCGGGTTAGAGTCTCAGTGGGAACAACACCATTCACTGGGGTGCAGATGCATCCAACTGACGAGTCTCAAATGAGACGAAGTATGCGTCCTGGGTTTCTCTACTGGTCATCAGGATCAACATAGGCTTATATGAAGTTTATGCAGCGTTTACAATTACTTTAGACATCATGGTCAATTAACTCCTAAAATTGAGTTTCTTTTTGATTCTTAACTTTTGGAAGTAAAATTGCTTACAAATGACAGACGCTCTTCCTGTTCTCCTCATATTATTTGTCTCCTTTCTCTTATGTAATCATTTACTGTCAACATGTGACCGATCGCCCGTTAAAATTTTTCACTTTCAGTGTCATTTCTCGTGCAGTCAATCAAATAACTATCTGCTTCACCTTATTTTCCTCATGTATTAGTCCTATGTACCTACTGTATTCACCAGACTGTATCTTCATTTCTGCAACCACAAACTTCATGACCTAACAACTCAGTTGGTACAGCATTCAGCCCAGAAAAACGGTGGTTGCTGGTTCGAGTCTAGCCGCGGTCCAGATTTGCATCTCACCTTCAGTCATTACCCAGTATAA